GCAGTATCACCCTACCAAAGCCAGGAAAGGACACAACAAAAAAGAAAACTATACATCAATATCCCTGATGAATACAGACACAAAATCCTCAACAAAAATAATAGCAAACTGGATCTTATAGCACATCAGAAAGATAATACACCATGATCAAGCGGGTTGTATTCCAGGGATGCAAGAATGGTTCAATATGTGCAAATTGATAACTGTGATTCACCAAATAAATAGAATTTTTAAAAACCCCATATGATCATCTCGATAGATGCAGAAAAAGCATTTGATAAAATTCAGCATTCCTTCATGATAAAAACCCTCAACAAACTAGGCATAAAAGGAACTTACTTCAAAATAACAAAAGCCATATGTACATATATATATGTGTGTGTGTGTATATATATATAAAAGACAAACCTGCAGCCAACATCAAACTGGATGGGGAAAAGTTAAAGGCATTCCCCCTAAGAACTGGAACAAGTTAAGGGTGCCCACTGTCACCATTTCTATTCAACATAGTGCTGGAAGTCCTAGCTAGAGGAATCAGGCAAGAGAAAGAAATAAAGGGCATCCACATTGGAAAAGAGGAAGTCAAAGTATCTCTGTTTGCTGATGATATGATCTTATTTCTAGAAAACCACAAAGACTCCTCCAAAAACTCCTAGATTTGATAAATAAATTTAGTAAAGTTTCAGAATATAAAAATCAACATATAAAATCAGTAGCATTTCTATACATCTGTAACAACCAAGCTGAGAACCAAATCCAGAACTTAATCCCATTTACGATAGCTACAAAAAAATAAAATGTCTAGGAATACATTTAACCAAGGAGGCAAAAGATCTCTACAAGTAAAAGTATAAAACACTGATGAAAGAAATCATAGATAACACAAACAAATGGAAAAACATATCATGTTCATGGATTGGAAGAATCAATATTATTAAAATGACCATACTGCTCAAAGCAATCTACTGATTCTTTGCAATTTCTATCAAAATACTAATGTATTTTTTCACAGAATTAGAAAAAAAAAATCTTAAATTCATAGGGACCCAAAAAAGAGCCTGAATAGCCAAAGCCATTGTAAGCAAACAAAACAAAGAGAGAGACATCACATTATTTGACTTCAAATTATACTACAAGGTTATAGTAACCAAAAGAGCATGGTACTGGCATAAAAATTGACACACAGATCAATGGAACATAACAGAGAACCCAGAAATAAAGCCACATACCTACAACTAAGGGATCTTCAACAAAGAAGACAAAACATAAACCGTGGAAAGGACAACCCATTCAATAAATGGTGCTGGGAAAACTGGATAGCCGCATGCAGAAGAATGAAAAGAGACCCATATCTCTCATTATCCACAAAAATTAACTCAAGCTGGATTAAAGACTTAAATGTAAGACCTGAAACTACAGAAATTCTAGAAGAAAACCTAGGGCAAATTTCTGGACATTGGCCTAGGTTAAGCATTTATGACTAAGACCTCAAAAGCAAATGCAACAACAACAACGACAAAAAAAAAAAATAGACAAATGGGACTTAATTAAACTAAAAAGATTCTGCACAGCAAAAGAAATACTCAATAGAGCAAACAGACAACTTAGAGGATGGGAGAAAATATTTGTAAACTATGCATCCAACAAAGGACTGAAAAGCCAGAATCTACAAGGAATTCAAACTCAACAAGAAAAAAAAAACAACCCATTAAAAAGTAGGCAATGGAAATAAACAGAAATTTTTCAAAAGAAGACACACAAATGGCCAACAAATATATGAAAAAATGTTCAACATCACTAATCATCAGAGAAATGCAAATTAAAACCACAATGAGATATCATCTTACACCAGTCAGAATGGCTATTATTAAAAAGTTAAAAAACAATAGCTGTTGGTGAGGATGCGGAGAAAAGGGAATGTTTATGCACCATTGCTAGGAATGTAAATTAGTGCAACCTCTGTGGAAGACAGCATGGAGATTTCTTAAAGAACTTAAAATAGAACTACCAATCAGTCAGGCAGTCCCATTGCTGGGTGTCCACCCAAAGGAAAAGAAGTCGTTGTATCAGACAGACACCTGCACTTGTATGCTCATCGCAGCACTGTTCACAATAGCACAGATACGGAATCAACCCGAGTGTGCATCAATAGATTGGACAAAGAAAATGTGGTACATACGCACCGTGGAGTACTACTCGGCCGTAAAGAATGATGAAATCATGCCATTTGCAGCAACATGGATGGAGCTGGAGACCATCATGTTAAGAGAAAAACTCGGAAACGGAAAGTCAAATGCTGCATGTTCTCACTTATAAGTGAGAGCTAAATAATGTGTACACGTGGACACAGAGAGTGGAACGGCAGGCATTGGAGACTCGGAAGTTGAGAGGGTGGAGCAGGTGAGGATGAGAAATTACCTCATGGGTACGACGTACACTGCTTGGGGGAAGGGTACGCTTCACCACAATGCCATGTATCTGTGTAACAAAACTGCCCTTGTACCCCCTAAATTCGTAAAAATAAAACAATGAAATACATGCCATTTGAGACAGATCCTCAAAGCATGCCCCCCAGCCTCACAAGGAGCCAGAGGGCTGTGGAAAGAGTGGATGGTGACCCAGCAGAACCAGCAGTCTAGGCACGTGGTCTGTTTGAAACACGCCAGTCTGGGGGCGGGGGGGCGGGGCTGGGAGGGGAGGGGCGAAAGACAGGGACCACCCCAGCTGAGGAAAGTACGCCTTCCACCAGAGGGTGATATATTTGAAGGCTTTGATTTGGTGCATATAACACAAAAATGCAGTCATGATAAGCAAAACTAAAATATGCTCTTTTTATACTATAGATTTAGGCAGCATTGAAGAAAGAAGGTCAAATAAAGAGGAAAGAAGAGTTAGCAGGAATACTTCCTCCTCATAAGGCTGAGGGAATTTAAAACTATGGCAACAGGGAGAATTTACAACAGGATAGCTTAGGAAGAAATTGACTGAAACCCGAGAAGAGAATGATTTGAGCACATTGGGAGATTTGATTTACTGATCACTTAGCAATAAAGACGAAAGATTAATATCACGCATAAGACGATCCCTGTGCAACAGACCTCTGTGAGCAAGTGTACCCTGGTGTGTACTTTCTAGGCCATTCGACAGACGCTACGGTCACAAGGAGACGTCATACGCTGAGATAATGTGAAGGCAGTCTTTGCTTAAAGAACGTGAAGGGATGTTACTATAATGTGTTACACGCTGCCAGAGTTACATCCTACTGTGCAAGCTCTGGCTTGCTCAGTCGCGAACTGAAACTTTGCAATTAGCAATCCATAAACTGCCAAGTATAGTTTGTCACATGTTGAGATATATCTGTTAAACAGATGTGCTTAAGACAGAAATAGGTGAAATGGAGAATGAAATAAATTCTGCTCTCAATGAAGGAAAAGGAAGGGAAAAATGGGATCTATTACATAGCTTCAGTTACAGATTCATCAAGAAAATTGGCTGGGTGTGGTGGCTCATGCCTGTAATCCTAGCACTTTTGGGAGGCCAAGGATTGAGGATCGCGTGAGGCTGGGAGTTTGAGACCAGCCTGAGCAAGACAGTGAGACCTCATCTCTACAAAAAATAGAGAAATTAGCTGCATGTGGTGGGTGCACCTGTAGTCCTAGCTGCTTGGGAGGCTGAGGCAGGAGGATCGCTTGAGCCTAGGAGTTTGAGTTTGCAGTGAGCTGTGATGATGCCATTGCACTCCAGCCCGGGCAAAAGAGCGAGACCCTATCTTAAGAAAGAAAAACGAAAAAAAAACAAAGAAAAGAAAAGAAAAGAGTTTTCATAGGTGTCAGCAGTAAAATAAAAACACTAGGAAATATCTCAGTTTCCAGGTGTTGAGTTTCAGGTGGTTTCAGGGAATGTGGCCATTGTACACATACACACAACACACCTACCTCAATTCCGACTTCAAATCCCCCTCCAAGGCCAGCGATCCCAATGGCTGAAGGTGCAGACCATTCTAATAAAACAAACAAGGAAAACACATTGTTCTAACATTAAAACTCCTTGACATATAAATACAGAGAGGAAAAATGCTAAAATGGAAATAGTGTTTCTTTTTAAAAAATGAGACTTAGATATTTTCCTTATGTTTAAAAATGTTCTTTAAAAACAGCATACAATTTTTATTAAAGTTGGAGATATTTGAAGACTATTAGATATTCATTCTGAGTCTCATAGACTCACAGACCCATTTTCTCTAATCTTTCTCTACTCGTATGCGTAACACCAAAGCATCGACTTCCTACCCACTGAATGTACATAGCATTTGATAACTTCAGCTACCAATATTTTAATAAAATGATTTAGCCATAGCTCTAGTCTTCAGTTAGAATTTATCACAGTACGAGAGGTCAGAAGGATTCAAGAGAGTTTGTTATAATCACTTCCAAGGTGACATAATATTAAGTTGCTCCTATTGTAAATTTCTGAGGTAAAAACTGTTTTAATAGCTTTTGTGCTGAGTAGAATCACAAGAAACAGGCTGAAAACCCAAGACTATTCAAATTCTAATGGTATGACTTTCTTTACATTTGGAAACTACATACAATAACTTCATTTGTCATGATATGGCACATTTTAGGGTTACTGTAGCTTATTTTTCTTGACATAGAAACAGTTATACCAAAAGAGTATAATATTTTTATTAAATATTTTTGATTTGTTAGGGGAGGGTGGCATGGTCTAGCTAAAGCACTTTCTGAAAACGTTTAATAGTTTTCTAACCGTAATTTTTTTGCACCATGCATTCTAGATAATAGGATATCGCTTGAATATATCCAGAACTAACCTATCTGGGCTTAGAGGAGCTTTGATTACAGAAATTACTGTCTGATAATCTGAGAGTTGTTTTTTGTTCCCTCCGTTAGGAACCATCCCTGTGTTCGGAACCGTCCCTGTGTTCAGAGCGCCAGTCCTGGCCAGGACCCTGGGGACGTGTGGTCCGTTTGGACAGCCCTGACACACCCTCAGAGGAGCACCCCCAGCTCGGGAAGAGGGGAGGGAGCAGTTTAGGTTTGACACCAGTGGAAGGTCTGGCTGGGGTCTGAGAGGAACCTGAGCGTCCCTCCACCGTCAGTGGGGCCGCCGGGTCCCTGACGCCCTCAGGGAATCATCTGGAGAACCGTGAGCAGTGGAACCCTTGGAGCGTGCTCTGCCTGGTTTGGTCTCAGTGCTGACAAGTCTGCCCGTGAACACCGGGCAGTGCTTGGGAAGACGACGACGCTGTAATTCACATTTTCAAAGCCTCGCTCTCATTTACCGTGGGGACACCTTGACGGGAAACAGGGGACTTGACTGAGATCTAGAGGCCACCTGCTCCACAAACACCTCATTCGTTGTCTGTAAAGTGTCCCAGTCGCTCTCTCAAAACAAAACTAAATCATCTATGCTAAAAACAGCTATTAATAGCAACATGTGTTCACTTATGTGACTGAGCAGCAAATGTCAAATTGGTATAAAAAGCGTTTCCGTTGGCTCTGACACACCTACGTCCACTTTAACTGTTACTATAAATGTTGGTTCTTGGGATTCGTGGCAAACGTATTTTGATTTCATCCCTGAAAAAAATCAAGTAATAGATTTGACCCAGGAAAATAAAACGAAATTATACTGTTCTTGATGTGATTCTGCCTTGGGGGAAATTCTTTAAATGTCTCGGTTTTTATGATCTGAGCAAAAACAGGTTAGAGGTTCACAGACAGCCCCTTGAGTTCACGTCAATCTCCACAAAACAAGAGAAAGCAGCTAAACCACAAAGTTGAGGGGTAAAAATTCACATTTAACAACAGAAATGCATGTATTGTCATGTTTAAATATTTTCTCCATGGAAGAATGACACATGCACACAAAACAAAGTCGGATCTGCGCACTGGGTCTTGCCTGTTATTTTGAGGCGGAGAAGGGGAAGGTTCATTGCCTCCCTGTGCACTGACACCAAACTGCTCAGAGGAACGGGAGACGTGCCCCACGCGCCCCATGACATGTGTGCCTCGTGGAAACTTTTCAAAGAAAGACAGACTAATGGCTGACAAACATGAAAAAATGCTCAACGTCTCTGATCATCAGGGAAATGCAAATCAAAACCACAATGAGATATCACTTATCCCCAGTGAGAATGGCCTTTATCAAAAAGTCCCAAAACAATAAATGTTGGCGTGGATGCGGAGAGATAGGAACACTCATGCACTGTTGGTGGGATTGCAAACTAGTGCAACCTCTGTGGAAAGCAATATGGAGATACCTTAAAGAGATACAAGTAGAATTACCATTTGATCCAGCAATCCCATTGCTGGGCATCTACCCAAAAGAACAAAAGTCACTCTATGAAAAAGATACCTGCACCCGAATGTTTATAGCAGCACAATTCACAATTGCAAAGATGTGGAAACAACCCAAGTGCCCATCAATCCATGAGTGGGTTAATAAAATGTGGTATATGTATGCCATGGAGTTCTACTCAGCCACAAAAAACAATGGTGATATAGCACCTCTTGTATTATCCTGGATAGAGCTGGAGCCCATTCTACTAAGTGAAGTGTCACGGGAATGGGAAAACAAGCACCACACGTACTCACCATCAAATTGGTATTAACTGATCAACACTTATGTACACATATGGTAATAACATTCATCGGGTGTCGGGCAGGTGGGAGGGAGAGGAGGGGATGGGTACATTCACACCTAATGGGTGCGGTGGGCACCGTCTGGGGGATAGACACGCTTGAAGCTCTGATTTGGGTGGGGCAAGGGCAATACAGGTAACCTAAACATTTGTACCCCAGTAATATGCTGAAATAAAAAAAAAAAGGACTGCGTCTGTAAAAAATAAATAAATAAAATAACTCCAATAACCGCCACCCCCCCCCAAAAAGAAACAACAGAATTGCGATTCCCCACTCCTCTAGTGAACAAATGTCAGCTTACTGCCATCCGGACGACGGGCCAGCACGATCCCGCTGCCTCCTCGGGCTGTCACCAGAAACCCGGCTTTGATCACAGTCAGGACGGCGAGGCCTTTGGCCTTGGCGATGACGTGGGCTGTCAACATCAAACGACAGGCGGTGAGCACTCTCCGCACACGCGCCTGCACACACGCGACTCGGCACACACGGGGTTGGCGTGCAGGGTGCCGGGCTCTCCAGGCGTCCTGGGGGCACACGGGGCCGTGAATAAAACTCAGTCCCGTCGCAGACGGGCCTAGGCCTCTCCGCTCCTGCCTCTTTGTCTCATGCTGTTATTTTTGCAGTGCTAAATGCAACATCATAAATATCCCCAAATCCTGCAACTGCCAAAGTAAATTAGATATTTGACAGAGATTTTATTGATATCTAGTAGCAGGGCAAATGTGTTCGCAATTCCAATTAACTTAGAACATAATGTACAATTTAAAAGATAAAAGTTATCATTTTCAAAGAAATTAAGATCCATGCAGTATTAAGGAGAAACTTCAAAAATGACCCAAAGGCAGCATGAAGTAGAACTTTGATCTTACAGCCATATAGCTAAGTTCATCTTTTATTAATGTAAAATTTTGGATTGAAAAAGAGAAAAATTAAGCAATTTTACCACATTGAAAAGTTTTTTTAACCTCATAAAATGATCTTCTATAATATGCAAGTACCACTTAACTACTAGTACCCTTAAAATATAATTCAATTTACAAAATACTGGCTTATTCATGTTTCAGAGACATCATTACATAAAATGAGGGTCATTAACATATGTATCTACTAAACATAGTGCTTCATTTTTCTGTGGATTTATTTACACAATAGCACATCTTTCAAACTAGCAAGGGGAGCTTAAAAATATAACTTTGTGATAGTTTAATTTATCATCAATTTTATCAAATATTCTGTCAAGGAAGTGAACCAGACACTGTGCCCTAGTATGTCCAAAAAAGGTTTTGTAGATGTCCCTAGAAAACACTAAACTCCTGATATAATTATGCCACCATTTCAAAATTTAAATTAAAAACAGGCTCTTGGAAATAATTCATCCAAGAGCATGAAGAAGTTAACATGCAGAACATTTGTGGAGCATTCTTACTTACACAAGGCACAGAAAAAAAGTTGTGTTCTTGGACTGCAGTCTACTAAAGATACCTTATTTTTTTATTTTAGAAGGTTATAAATATATTGTAATAAGACTGGAAGCTTATCATCCATCATGTAGGTTTATTTTTACAACCACATGTTGGCAGAATATCTCCTCAACACCTCATGTTCTATCCTCAATGCTTTTAGAGTTATTATTGCCCTGTTTAGAAATACTAGATATAACAGAAGCATGTTCTTAAATGAACGTATTCACAAGTCAACTATGTTTTCATGGGTTATCCACCCAAATACCAACAAGGCCTAAATAATTTTCCACTGGCTTTTTTTTACTTATAGAATGTGCTCATAGTAACTGCGGACTTACTTTTCAAATTCAGTTTCATGTACGTCTCAGAGCCCTTAACGTCAGAGGAGGACAAAGCACCACGGAGCAGAGCCGGGTGTCCAGCTGTCTTGTTTTAAACGTTTTACAGACATCATCTTCTAGCCCGTGACACATCTCCCTTGTTTTAAGGTACATACGGTGCCCCGACCAGACGCCAGGAAAGGTGAGCCTGGGGTCTCCGCTGTGAGCTTCCCGCCCTGCCACCCCCCGCACCCCTCGGGGTCACGAAAGCTCCTGCTCAGGCTGACACGCAAACGTCCTGCTCTGAGCTTCCCCCACAGGAAGTTCAGGACTCTGGCGGCTTCTACCTGGAGGCCGAAGACAGGCAGGACGGAATTTTGCTGTGCAGAATCCACACATGACAACTAACTCACACGCAGAGGTTTCCTAATGTGGGGAAATACCTAACATGCGTGTTTATCCACATGTTGGGCTGGCCTGACGTGTGTTAGATATTGACACGTATCCAGAAATGTCTCTGTCCTCTGCTTCAGAATATTGCTCCTGGAGACTCAGCTTTTCTTATTGAATTTTCCTTAATCTCTAAAGCAGCACTTCTCAAACCTGTGTGTGCAGGCCACTCACGGGGGGCCTGGTGGAAATGCAGGTCCTGACTCGTGAGATCTGAGCGGATCTCTCACGAGTTCCCAGGGACGCCGCGCTGCGGGTTCAGGCTGCACTGTGCTCTCAAGGTGGGAGAAGCGGCTGGGCTGATGTGACAATAATTAACATCATCTTGTTATTATAACAAATTTAAAAAAATAACTTAATGCTCTGTTAAATAACTTTGGGAAATTCTGGCATAGGAAAATTAAACTGGTTTCTTCAACGCAGGACTCAGAGTCACGCACTGTGATTATTAAGAGGGAAATCGGTCTGCAACTTTGCCCGAGCTAATTGGCACATGGCCCTTCTTCGCATGAGACAAGCATGCTCTGAAACACCCTTTGGGAATAACTAGAAGTGCTAATGAACAGGTGGCAGTTTCCAAAGGCTCACCCTCTGGACCAGGTCTCACCGGGTCAGCTTGATTACGTAAGAATTATACGAGGAACATGCTAAAAACATGCATTCCTGGACACGCTGCTCTGAGTGATTCGGCAGCGTGGAGAGAGGTTTGAGAACTGCATTTCAGTGGCCGGGGGGTGCTGGTGCACTGCTGTGCTGGGGATTATTGATTAACGTCTTCTTACACCACTGTAGAACGTAAACATCTTATGGGGAAAGAGAAAACACGAAATTGAAATCTATTTACGAGATTAGCTGGTGAGTGTGCAAGGTTAGCCTGCAGGGTTTTCAGAATGTGACGGACTCTGCACAGGAACTCAGGTGTGGTGGAGCAGGAACACACGGGGTTCGGGGCGCGGGGACGCGGGAGACTGCGGGGAAGCCCGTGCAAGGGTGGGGTGGGGAGGGCACGAAGTCTGCGGGTTTGCCCCAGCCTGCGGCTGGCCCTGTCTGGGAAACCACCAGGGAAGAGAGCTCCGAGGGCCTCCCAGTCCCTGGTCAGCTGGAGAAAACAGGTGGGCAGAGTACCTGTCGGTACGCTGACGGCTTCCGCCTGTGATGAGGTGCAAGGAAGGGACGCAACCCAGGAATGAGAGTGGGATGAGCAGCTTATTCACCTACCAGGAATGATCTTGTCAGGCCCATTTCTGGAAGTTATTTCCGTGAATTCTCTTAGTATTTTAGCAGCCTTTTTTGCTTCTGATTTCAAATTGGAGGGTATAGGGTTATTCACTGAAAGATTTAAAGAAGATATTTTAATGCAAAATTCTACTAAACAGAAGTCAGAAATTTATTATTCATTCATTTTTCTCATACACAGTTAAGCATTAACAAATCGTATCCTACCACACAAAGGAAATGAATTGGAAATCCTCGTTATTGACAGTATCATCTCTGTTTTCCTAATAAATCACATCTACTCTGAGATTGGAAAACCCTGACTTTTGAAATCTCAGAAATTATAAAATCATGGGACCCTAAAGGGCCTTAAACAAAATCTGATCAAACTTCCTCATTCGTATCTTTTCTCTGTAATTAATGCACCTTAATACTAATTCAAAAGGATTAAAACTTTAAAAATTAACGAAAGATGTATTTTACAATTGTCTAAAATACATAATATAGAATTTAATGTGCTTCAGTATTCCTGTCAAACATGTTGGGATGGGTGCCGGTATAAACTTTTCTGTTAGTCAAACTCCAGGAAACTCCAGAATGAAGCAATCGCTGCAAGCAAGGAGAGCGTGCACTTGGGCAGCATTTTACGTTTTCAGCGTCTCTTAGATACTTATAAACCCCTACAGGTGTCTAGTTGTCATAACGATGCTCACGTGATCCTTCCGGCTCTGCAGCACGTGGAGAAGATGGCCCTCTCCTTGTCACTGGACAGGGGCCAGAAGGGCCGGAGAAGCTGCTCAACTTTATCGTGCGACCATGCGAGTGCTGAGCACTGGGTCCTCGTCTGACTATGCACAGGTAAAACCGCAGGGCGTCGGGGTGGGAGGGGGGAGGCTTCATTTCCGCTGTGCCACTTGGGTGACTTTCAGAATGGCAGGTAAAAGAGCCTCTGCTTTTTTTCTTTTTTGCAAAATAAGGATTTTTTTTAAATGAAATAATGTGATGCATTTTGGTGCCTGGTATGTTTGAAATATGGAATTTATTTTAAAGTGGAAACTGAATTAGAGTCGTATTGGAACTCTGTCTTGTTTTCTTAAAAAGAAACCTGCATCAGTTCTTTATGGCTCAACACAGGATTGTTGGCAAGACTTAAGCCTTGGGAAACAGAGATCCCACAAACCCAATCATCAATGGTATTAGTTTGGGTAGAGAAATACATTTTCATAGATATTTTATGCAAGCCAAAAAAATGTGTATGATGTGTGCATGTTCCTTTTCTTTTTTTTTAGAGACAGAGTCTCGCTCTATTGCCCAGGCTGGAGTAAAGTAGCGCCGTCATAACTCACTGCAGCCTCGAACTTCTGGGCTGAAGTGATCCTCCTGCCTCAGCCTCCAGAGCAGCTGGGACCACAGGCGTGCACCACCACGCCTGGTCCCTTTCCCCCTTTTAAAAACAATGGCATCATGGCTTTAGTATATTTCGGCACTTTGCAATTGTTACTCGATTTTATTCCCAAATAGTTAAAATATTGGCTCTCAGTGTGGGTTTTTAAAATCACCTTCAGGAGCTGTGATTTACAAAGTGAAATCCATCTCTGTTGCAGATACAGCTCGGTGAGCTGGGGCAGGAGGAGTACAGACCCCCAGTGCCACCTGACCCAGGCTGTCCCCAGCTCCCGCCTCGAGCAAGTGCCGATTTGAGTTCTGTCCCTATGTATCAGTTTTGTCTGTGCCAGAATTTCACATAAATAAAAGTACACTGTGTATTCTCGTCTATCTCATTTCACTCGCCGTAAAATCACTGAGACTCACTCACGGCGCTCGCTGCGCAAGGAGAGGCTCTTGCCTTCGGGCTGTCAGACTGACTGCCCCAACGTGCCTCAGTTTGTTCTCCGCTCACTCTTTTTTTTTTTTTTTTTTTTTGAGA